TTGTTCATAATGTCTTAATTATATGGTTTTTAAGTCTTGAAATTATACTTAATATTTAATACTTGTGTAGTTATATCATTTCCATATGTTATGCCTGTAATTTCAATCCATAAACTTGTATATTCATGAAGTAGCACTTTTCTTGTCATAATTCATTTTATTTGATTCCATTTTGCCCTCTCCTCAGTCACTCAGCTTTTCTCCCATTTCCAACACCACCCCAATGTTCCAGTAACCTGGTTAATGTCAAGAGCTTGTGGGATGAGGTTCCCTTCTTCCACGCCTTAATTGGAACCCAGCAACTGACAATCTGTTCTTGGTTCTACCTACTAGAATCACCAGCTACCAGTTCTCCTCATGACTTATTTATTTTATGTACTCTAAAGAGGTACTTCCTGAAAGACAGAAGATAATCTCTACTCTTTCAAGATTCACAGTCTTCTTTTTCTCACTCTCTTCCTGTTCAGGTAATTTCTTTTATGAGTCTGTGGCAGAAATGCCTCTTCAAAAGGCCTGCCTCCTCCCATCTCTTATCCTGAGGGACTTGGGTACTCAGTGGTACTGGCTGATGGCTTTTGATCTGGGGAAGAACCTTGTGGCATATCCAGCAAGTTTTACAAGTCTGATGCCAAGAAAATGGCCCCAAAATTTGTGGGATTAAAGAAAAGGGGATTAAGGAAATAGGTAAATTAATTCACACTAATAGGAATTTCTAATGTTTGGATAAAGAAGGTGTAGCAGGACCTCTCCCAAAGAAATGCAGTGGGACGGATGGGCAAATGGGCTGTTTCCAAGTTTTAGCTATTGCAAACTGTGCCGCTATAGGAAAATGGATACATATGGAGGATATACTCCTAAGTGAAATAAATAAGACACATATGTAAATACCGAATAGTTTCTCTGGTGTGAAAAACTATAATAGTACATAAGATCCTAATGAGATAACTGACAATGTGAAATAGGAAGAAAAGGGCTAAAGGTGTAGGGAAACTGGGAAGGGTAGGGGAAAGGTAATACAGGAAAATAAAAAAATAGGAGAAAATGAGAAAATGGAAATAAAGTGTTTATAAATGGGGAGAGGAGGAGGGGTGAAGGGAGGGCAGGGACAAGGGAAAAAAATGAGAACCAAGACCTGTCATGTAAAGGGACAAGATCTCAATAATGAATGCAACTGTACTGTATACCTAAAATGTACCAATAAACTCAATGAGGAAAAAAAATGCAGTGGGAGCCTTCTCAGAACAAAAGACGACAACATGACCTCATTAGTTCCTATGTACACAGCTTCTAGCATGTCTCTGTGACTTAGGTTTTACCAATCAGGCTGTATTTTGTTAGTGTGTTACCATATAAGGGAGACAAAGAAACAAGAATTGTATAAAAGGTGATACTCCACCTTTGGATATGGGTTAACCTTTGGATATAAATCGCTAAGCCAGTGCCAGCAGGAATAAATGCTATTCTCAGGAAAGGGTCTTGGTGTCCCCTCTCTGTATGTGGGAATCCTGCTACAAAGGTACATATGGGAAAAGGAAGAATGTATGGAGAAAATTGGAGGTAGTAGTAGCAGGAATGCAGTTTTAAACACAAATATAGAGTTGAATAGTGGCGTTGGTGAGTTTGTGGGTACATGTATGTATTTTCTAGCTGCCCTTTAAGATGCCTGAAAAACAATATGTGACAGTTGACCAGTTGTGTCAACTTGAGTAAGAGAGGCTCAACTAAATCGGCTCAGCAATTTCACACCCTAGGGTATGAAGGTGGTTTGTCCCCTGGATGGTATAAAGGGGAAATGAGGAAGGAAAGATCTTTCTGTTTCTTCAATGAAACTCTAGTCTTTGCATTTACCTTTGACCTCATCTTCTGGCGTCCAACTCAGACTTCAGCTTCTGGCATAGATTCTTCTGCCTTTCATCATAGACCCATTGGCCTCATACGGATCGCACAGGACACTGCAGTGAGCTCCAGACCTTTTACTGAATCCTTTGGCTTCCAGTGTGCAGACAGACCCTCTGCACACTTCCACATCTGACTCTGTGGATGGCCATTGTTAAGCCAGTATTGTAAATTCTGATATATTTGTATATCTTATACCATCTCTGTTTCTCTGAAAAACACTGATTGATACGCAATAGCATACTGACAGTAATAAATATACCTGGTTCCTAGATTGTAGTTTCTATAGCCACTCTCCAAAAAAAGAAAAAAAAAAAAAAGAACAGATCCTTTTTTTAAATGCTTCATTCCAAGGTATAGGCTAAGAAACCATAAAATTAACATGTCACATCTTGTCACTGCAGGGTGTAAGAAAGTTTATTCACAGATTGATGGAGATATTTCAAAATAACAGAGAAATTGGGTTGAAGGGCCCCACTGATTTAATCTGAGAAAATTCAGTAACAAAATGAAAAATAATAATGTAGTATAACTCCTGAATAAAATAGGAAGAAAAGAGATTGCTGCCTTATATGGAATGTGAATTTAGACATATAAAAGAAATGGAAAAATTAGAAACTCACCATTTAGCAGTCATCTGAAAAATAATCGAATACTAAAATCACTCAATGTTTGGAGAACAGGATATTCATTTAGTCCCAAGGTATCTCCCTAATAACAATTTTCATTTAAGTATCAATTAGTAAGTTCAAGATACTTTTGAATTTCAAAGGAAAAAATTCTGACAGGTTGTATTTTAAATTGTGGCTTTTAATTTCATTTTACATCATAAATGTTCACATTATAACTGGTGAGGAAAAAAAATGAATCTTTGAAAAGTTTAAAATTTTTCTTTAGAGACCAGTGGTTTCAACAAATTCAGTTCTTGAGTATAAACATCACGTCCTCCTCTGCTCAACGCTGCTGAATGAGCAGAATATGCAGACATGGGCGTCAGAAAATCAGGGCCTAGTTCAGTTCCCAAAAGAAAGAGAAGAAAGAAAGAATGGCCGGAGAGATAAAGCTAGCCTTGAGACACACAGCATGTCACTGTACTCCCTCTCTCCTGGGTTCCTTACTATAAATGACTCTTGCACACATGAACATGGGGATGTGGTAATTTGAAGCCAACGAGGCCTCTCCATCCTCTTGGAGATGGCTTTAAATAAAGCCTGATTCTTTTTACCAAAATGAATGACTTCCTTTGATTTGGTCAGCAGTGACTACATGTACCTGAGTGTATGAACCTGAATGGCTGCTAACAATATTGTCAATAAAGAGACAAATGTTATGACTACTAATAATATGTACTGAGAAGAATATTACATCATACAAAACATACATATAATGGGAAACAAATTTTTAAAAGTCAAAGAAAAATATATTCTCTTTTCATTGTCAACAGGTCATGAAAGAGCAAGAAAGATTCACAGTTTAATGATGCATTCTCTAAAAGTTCTGTGTGATCCTGAATTTGTTCATGAGTCAGAAGAGAGTTTTTACATTTTTATTTAAATTTTATATTTCTCAGAAAAACTTTAAATTAGAAGGCATGGAGGTTAGATGAGTGATGCATTAATATGAATTTGCTTACTTTATTGAGTATATTAGTATTATAAAGGAGAATTCTTTTGTTCTTAGGAAACACTGGCAAGTTAGGGAATTCAGACCATCATATTGGCAGCTTTCAAGTGCTTCAAACAGAGAGAGGAACAGGCTGAAAATGTTAAAAAAAATATTGGATTTCAGTAAAATTCACACGAGAGTTCTTTGCAGTGTTCTAGTGATTTTCTGAGGTTTAAAATTATTTTAAATTTAAAACTTAACCCAAAAAAAGTCTTATTGCTGTCCTAAAGTTGAATCTCTTTTACCTCTTTGCTATTCTTAATTTTCAGAGCCTAAGGGTTTGTTATACAAATCTCAAAAATGCTTGTAGGCAACTTTTGCAGATTAGTCTTCCATACAGCTCTTTTTGAAGCAAAGAAGGAAAATGAAAAATTCAGACACCAATTTCTCACATGACACACGTCATTACAAGAAAATACTTTTCTTTACCTTAGCTATTACATAAAGCAAGCACATAAATTTAAAAAATCTGTAAAAACACAAATTTCTTGACCTTACAAAAAGCTCTCTCTGTGTGAACAGCACTTTCTCCAGATGATTTTTTAAAAGATTAAAATTATAAAAGATTTGGCAATTATTTAACATCACAACTTCTATAGCTTCAGGCATGGAAAAAGTTGACCACAAAATAAAAGAGAAATCTAGGCAATTAGGTAATCAGAAGTGATGAAAGACATCCAACATCCAGATTGGAAGGAAGGAATTAAAACTATCTCTATTCACAGATGTTGTGATCTTGCATGAAGAAAATACTAAGGTTTCCACACCCATACATGTAAAGCTACTACAATTTATAAGTGAATTCAGTTAAGTTGTAAGATCAATATAAAAAAATCAATTAAATTTCCATGTGGTAGCAATGAACACTGTAGATACAGAATTAAGAAAACAATTTGATTTACAGATTGAAAAAAAATCCTCAGAATACCTAAAAAGAACTTTAACAAAAGAAGTGTATGACTGGTACATTGAAAATCACAAACATATTGAAATAAATTAAAAGATGTTCAAATTTACAAAAGTCATCATGTTCATAAACTTTAAAACCTGATATTTTAAAAATAATTCCTCAAATTCATCCTCATACTCAAAGCAACCCTTATGAAAATAATAAAATAATAAGTTAATACTCAAATTAATATGAAAACGCAAAGGTTGTAAAGTAGGCAAAGCAATCTTGAACATAAATAATAAAACTGGAATATTAATCCTTCCTTTTTGAAACTTATTACATAACAGACAATGGCAATCATTTATATACATATATTTTGAATAGGATTCAGAGCCTAGAAATAAACCTGTTTGGTTGGTTTCAAATAATTAACTATTTTCCATTCATATTTTTACTAGGAAACCAAGACAACTCCATGGAGAAAAAAACACTTTTCAGTTATTGATGCTGGAGCAAGTAGATATACAAATGCAAAACAAGAATACTAGTGCTCACTTCAGCAGCACATATACTAAAATTGGAACAATATAGAGATTAGCACGGCCCCCACACAAGGATGACACATAGATTTGTGAAGCATTCCATAATTTAAAAAACACAAAAAACAACGAGAATACTAAACTCCTGCCTCACACCATACATAAAATTTACTGAAGACATATATGAAAATAAATGTGAGAGCCGTAAAAGAAATCCTTAGAAGAGAATACCATAGAATTAAACAATTGTAACCTATTATAGGATACACTTCCTATATATGATATCAAAAGTATAAGCAACATCAAAATCAACCTTTTATACCTCAAAAGACATCATCAATAAAGTGAAAATGCAACCCAAAAAATGCATGAAAATATTTATAAATCATTTATTTAATAAAAGATTTGTATCAAAAATGTACAAAAAATAGTTACAATTTAACAAGACACAAATTGCCTGATTAAAATAATAGGCAAAGGATTTTGATGTATTTAATTCACCAAAAATATGTATATTTATCCATTAAGCACATCAAAAGATGCTTTATTTTTCTCAACTGAAAACCACGATGACATGCCATTTCACATTTACTGGAATGGATAAAATATAAAAGATAGCTATAACAGTGCTATGGTGAAACAATTGGAATTTTCATATATTGCTGATGGGAATATAAAATTGTGCAGCCACTTCAGAAAATATTTTGACAACTTCTCAAACTGTTAAACACAGAATTACCATTTGATCAACAATTCCATTTTGAGGTATATAACTAAGAAAAATGAAAACATATGTCCACAAAAAACTTATAAACAAATGTTCATAGAAGCATTGGTCAGAATAGCCAAAAGGTGGAAACAATCTAAATATCCACAAAATAAAAATAGATCCACAAAAGGTGGTATATCTAGAAAATAAATATTATTTTGTTAATGTAATAAAACATAATTTATCCTACAACACAGAGAAATCTTGAAAGCATACGAAGTTATAGCAGTCAAGTACAAAAGGCCATTTATGCTGCTGTTCCAGCTAAATGAAATGTATGGAATGTGAAAATCTACAAAGACAGAAACAAGGTTGGTGTTTTCCTGGGGTGGTGACAGGGTAGGGGATTGGAAATGACTGTTAAGGAGTGTGAGACGTCTTGTTGGAGCAATGAAAATACTCTAAAAGTGACTGCAGTGATTGTTGAAAGACTACATAGCTACATGAAGAGCTACTGAAGTATCTGTCCACTTAAATGGGTGGATGGTATGATACATGAATATTTCAGTAAAGATGTTATGAAAGAAATAGCCTTAATTGAAATTTTTATATCTAGCAGGTTTTGGTTTTCTTTTTTTCATGAACATATATCTCCATGCAATCCTTTGACAAAAATCTGCCTTTAAATATTTAATCTAGAATTGTGAGAATATTAACTGTGTGACTGGATTTTCAGATAACAATAGTGTTATCTTAGAATTTTCCTTTATAGCTTGGCTTTCTTTGCTTACACAGCAATTTTAGCATCAGCTCTGCAAAAGATTGTTAGGTGGATCTTTATTACAAGTAAAATACGCAAAAGATGATGTGATTTTTTTTTAATTCACACGGTAGTCCCAGCCATTGGGCTCTATGAGCACCCGTTGACCATGTCTTCTTACGCTAATATTGTTATCTATAAGGCACAACTTCAAAGTTTGTTTGTTCAAGAAGCCTTACTTTTTGAAAAAAAATTAAATAAAGCCCATTTAGAAAAGTCCTTGCAAAAAACATTCACATATCTCGTTTACATCATGTAGCTTTTCTTTTGCTGAATGCCACTTATCTGTTATACTGCTGCAAACAAATAATTGATGCATATATGTATATAAAAACCAAGAAGTATCCCACAGTTGTTATGTTATCAGTGACTACTTTATGATACTGTCTATAAAATTTTCCATTCTGGAAATATATTTTCAATCAAAGTCACTTTAATGTCAGCTGTTTAAAACTCAGGAATCTCTAAAGAATGAAGAAGGCAGAAGCATGAAATTCCTGTGGTTGAATTAAAATAACACAAAACACAGTGGATTAACTCTCCACGTGCCACATCTGGGGTATAAACGTAAGAGTGATATTCCTAATGATTTTTGTCCAAAGCTAAATATAATTCTAGAAAACGTTTTCTCTCCTACTTTCCTGTGGAACTTTGTAGCTAGCAACCACAAGTTGAGCACGTCTCGTCTTCACTACTGAAAATGCAGAGCAACTTATAGAAACAATTTCAACCAACCCCTGTTTAAATATTTAGGCAAC